TTTTTTTTTTTTTTTTTTTTTTTTTTTTTTTTTTTTTTTTTTTACTTTTCATTTACTTAGATGTAAAACTGATTGACGTCCCCATCTAAAACAGGATGTTATGTTTAGTTGGGTTTTCTGTTTTTTTCCTTGAAATTGAAACTGAAGGAGATCAGATCTATTTAAGCTAATTTAAAGCTTCAGAAACGCCTTCCATCTTTAAAATATTTCCTCAATTCTTTCTGCAGGTTGTTGAAAGTAAAAGTGGATCAGAAACACTTTAGGTTGTAATGCTAAACTCATTCATTTCAGCATTTCTACTAAGTTTGAACAGATGGCGTGAATGAAAAGCAACAAAAAACAATTAGTGTGTAAAATGATCAACCTTGTTATATGGCCCAATTTTAAACGTTTTAAAGGTGAAGTAGTCGGATAGAACACTACAGATTCTGTACGCTATAGTCACCTTCTTCCCTCTCCTTACACCCACCGTCTCGTTCATCGTTAGATGGTGGCCAGCTGAGATCTGCAACCCCCGCCTTGTGCCACCAAATATCCAGAGCCTTCGACACGACGTGGGCGACTTCCCGGTTTTCTTCTTCGGTTCCCACGACTACTACTGGATCAACCAGGGCCGGGTGTTCCCATACGTGGAAAATGACAAGAGCTTTGTCACGGGTCAGATCAATATCAACAAAACCTTCAAGAAAGGTGAGTTTTTACCTTTTTATTTTCCCTGTCTGTATGTTTGATGGTGAGGGGTTTTCCTTGACACTGTTACTGTTTCAGCTCTGGAAGAAGCAGCTCGGAGGTTTCAGGAGCTCAAGGCTCAGAGGGAGAGCAGGGAAGCTCTAGAGCAGGAGCGCAACTCCCGTAAACCCCCACCATACAAATTCATCAAGGTCTGTGTCCTTTGAATGTGTCTCCACATTGAGAGAAATGCCTCAAAAGAAGCCATCTTACCTGGTTTACTCTAATTCTTATGTAACAGTCCAACAAACCAGTCGGTAAGGTACAGATGCACGTGGCCGACCTGTCTGAAATCCCTCGGTGCAACTGCAAACCAACAGAGGAGCATCCTTGCAGCCTCGACTCCCAGTGTCTCAACCGCATGCTGCAGTATGAGTGTCATCCACAGGTTTGTAGACCTGCAGCTGCTGTTGGTAATGACAGTCGTATACATCTAACCTAAGGCCTTTCAACTCGTTTGTATCAGGTGTGTCCTGCAGGAGACCGATGTGAGAACCAGTGCTTCTCCAAGCGGTTGTACGCAGAAACCGAGGTGATGAAGACAGAGGGGTGCGGCTGGGGGCTCAGAACAAACCAAGCGCTCCGAAAGGTGACTTTCATGCCTAGACCCCCAACTTTGAGTAGAATTTAAGTATTAAGCACCAAAATGACCTCTTTTCTTTGCTCTGACCTTTATTTTCTTGGACATTTGGGGGTATTTGCATGTCTTACTGAGGACTACTTGTTGATCAATCGATAATACAGAGCAGATTTTTATGAAAATGTGTCCGACTGAAAGACTTGCGTTGTTTTTGACATTACCGCTGCCTTTGTAGCTACAGATTAGTCATATAAGAGCGTCTGGTTTACACCTTATGTAATAAAAATGTGACACTTAATGTTTCCCTCAGGGTGACTTTGTAACAGAGTACGTGGGAGAGGTTATAGACTCGGAGGAGTGCCAGCAGCGAATCAAACGGGCCCACGAGAATCACGTGACCAACTTCTACATGTTGACTCTTACCAAGGTAAAGATGCTGCTGTTACTATGGAAATCTTAGATTGTGTTATTGAAGCTCTGGCATGTTTGGGATTTAAAAAAAGGATCTATTTCACCTATAAAATCATTGTTTTTACAGCTCTGGTTGGATGTTTATGCTCACTTTTACCATTTGTTAAAATAAAGACTTAGACAACCTTTTTTGTCATTTTGTAAACAGAGCGTGTACAATAATCAACGTTACACACAGCTTTTTGACAGTGATGAGAAGCAGCTTAGCAGTGAAGATGAACATTTCTATTTATAAAGTGCAGCAGTGATCAAAATGTAAACGGTGTAGGAGAGATAATATTTACAATTCAATGCAAAAAGCAAATGGTTATCCTTCAGCAGTTTTGCCATTTGAACAATTTTACTTTGGTTAAATAAATTATTTATAGTCTAAATCTGCCATAGAGACTAAACATTTTGAGCCTTGCTGCACAAGTATACCCACATCCTCTAATATTTGGATAACTGTCCTGTAGAAAGTTAACCAAAGGACGGTTATTTGGAGTTAAAGTTGTATCCCTCTCACAGTTTTCATTATTCTTAATGGTTTATGAATTCTCCCTCACAGCAAATCAGACCCCCAGTATCATGCTACCACCTCCTTGCACTGTTGGGACAGTTTTCTTATGGTAGAAAGACTCATCGTGATGCCAGGAAAGTTTTTCTACAGGAGTTATGTGGTTGGTCCATGTGAGCAGTAGAACATTTCATTCATGCTTCAAGGATTTTGAGGTTGGGGGCTCCTGTCTTGGTCAGAACTTTCATTCTGTTGTGATTTTAAAACCACGCCCTTGTAGATGGTGACCTCGATGTTCCACCTGTGGTTTCTGGGTTGTTCTTTAACATCTTGTCAATTTTTTATTCCTCGAAGCTGGACAGGTCGAGATGGAAAGTTTAAAATTTGGTATCATTTAGATTTTGCAGCAGGTACAATGTCATAGATGGAAATATTAAGATGTTGGCCCCAAATTTCATCTTGATCCTAAAAAATGGGTCTTTGTTCGAGAATTTATGAAGAGGTTAAATGTCCAGCCAAAACTATGTCATTTTGATTGCTCAGTTCTTTAATTTTAATTAAAATGGTATGTTGCAACTCTTGGTAAAATAACTTAAATAAATAATTAAAAGCCTTTATAACATGGCAATAATGTTATTGAGTGTCTTCTAGTTTCTGAACAGCCCAGTAAGGTGTTTGGTGTTGTGACCTCTCTGTTCCTGGACAGGACCGTGTGATAGACGCCGGCCCAAAAGGAAACTCATCTCGGTTCATGAACCACAGCTGCAGCCCCAACTGTGAAACCCAGAAGTGGACGGTCAACGGAGACGTCCGCATTGGGCTCTTCGCCCTCTGTGACATCGAGGCCGGTGAGTTAAGGCCGGATGTTTGTTTTTTTTCACATTGGGGCTCACCATTTACCACCATTAATCTTGGTTGATCAACAGGCACGGAGCTGACCTTCAACTACAACCTCCACTGTGTGGGCAACAGGAGGATGTCGTGTCACTGCGGATCTAACAACTGCTCGGGATTCCTCGGGGTGCAGCCAGCGGTGAGAACGTTTACATCAGCCTTCCTGAGAGCAAACCTGGCACTCAAAGCTCCCCATCTGACATTATTTATTTTGCTTTCTGTGTCCTCCAGAGTGCTGTTGTGATGGAGAAGGAGGAGAAGGCCAAAACCGCCAAGCTGAAGCCAAAGAAGCGGAAGCTGCGGCCAGAGGGCAAACACACACACGAGTACTTCTGTTTCTGCTGCGGGGAAGGTGGAGAGCTGGTGATGTGTGACAGGAAGGATTGTCCAAAAGCGTATCATCTGCTGTGTCTCAACCTCACCAAACCACCATACGGTAAAACAAAACAAGATTTTATTCTGATGTGCATGCTTCAGACTTATTCTTCTTTAATTAAGGGGGATCATCGATTTATTCAAACGCCTTGCCATCACTTAAAAGTAGCCTCCAAACGGAGATTTTTACCTATGCCACATGAGCCAGTGTTACGCTTTGACAATAAAACCAACCTGGCAAAGAGGAATAGTCATTTGGGAATTTGTATATTTCACTGCCGGTCTTAAAAACACATTTAATTCCAAATTATTTTTGTAATTCTTCAAAGTACCAAACAAAAAAATCGTTTAACTGTCACCTAGTTATTTGAACTGTTTTAGCACCAACCAGGCAATTCCTACAAAGAATTAGCTGGAAAATTCAGTCAACAGAAGGATGAAGCCTCCACCAGGATGCATTTGGTTCACATGAACTCAGAAGTCTGATCTGGGAAACTCTTATCACTCAAGTTGGACGCCTTCTTGCTGAACCGTGGAAAAACAGTGAGATTTAGTACCCCTGTGATGCTGCTGGCCCCTGACCTGCTGTTACCTTTAGCAGATATTAACAATGCATTTCTTCCTTTTCTATACACTTAAAAATTAAAATATGTAAAAGAAGAGAAAACTGAACACAGGGGTTCCTTTAAGGTCTTAAAAAGGCTACATATATAAAATATTTAAAAATCCTAAATATCCTGAATACAGGATTTTTCTAACTATTCTTGAGACCTTAGAATGTGCATTTTTGTTTGCCTGTTGTATGAAGTTTTTTAATAAGACTTTTTGCAAGACAAATTTCTGCCAGTTTTTATGTTTCTCCTTGTTAACATGGCCATTAAATTCAGGCGGTATCTCTGTTTGCCTAAAGAATGAACAGCAGCTTAAATAAGAGCTCTGTTGGGAAAATAATTAACCCCGGATGTTCATACTTTCTAGTGAAAACAAAAGAAAAAAATTGCTCTTCCTGTGGTCAGCTTTTTTAGTTTTTTTACTCTAAAAATTAACACATATTATCAGCAACATTGGTATGGTATCTATTTAGCAAGGCAAAAAAAAAAAGTTTTTCATTGATAGGGGAGCACAATTGGCTGATGGCTAATCTTCAGAAAGCCTAACCTGCAGATACCATATTTTTATTCTGTTATATGTTCTTAGTACATCCATCAATTGTGTTTCATTAAAAATGATTGAACAATACCTGTGAAACAATGTAATTTTTTTCTAGCTGCAAATGAGGTAGTTTTCTCAAATATTAATAAAGTTTAGAAGATTGGCAGTGGCTGATTTTTAAAACCTCTGTTAGGTGAGATAAAATGGGTTTAACATCATGATGATTACTGTTTCTTTAAGGTGATATGACATTTGGGTAACCAGTGAGGAAGGATTTTGATTCAAATCTCAGAGTCAGAAAACATTACAAAAATTAATATCTATGTCAAGTTATCGAGTAATATCATGGATAACCATGATTTTTTATAGAAAAGTTGAACCATACTAAAACTAAAGATATCATCTTACATAACCAATAATGTGAGTATAGGAGATTTAATGAGATTCAGTGGCATGGGTGATGCCATAAAATTTAACAGCTGTTGAACTTTGATTATGTCTGCGATGAGACTCAGACTGGAGTGATTTTCAACACTGGAATTTTTCCATCTACACCGGCCCAAATATGGACCCCCGCCAACTTTGGTTATTAACACAGACGCGACAGTGACTGCTGCTGCATAACGTTCACACTTGCACCCTAAACTGCCAGATTGGGAAGCATCCCAACCTGGCAACAATGCACGTAAGACGGGAAACATTAGCCTTTAGATATAAAACCCCAACATGCACATTTCTTTTCAAAATATTCAAACAAAAATTCGCCAAATATAAGAGGAACATCGTAGTTTGGTTTAAAGAAACCATTTTAGTTTTATTATAATTTAGTTTGTTGCAAGTATTTTACAGTTTGAAGAAATAGAAAATTACACCATATGCCAACCGTCACAAGGATGTGCATCACAAGGAAGGGTTATATATACTGTATGCGTCATTTAGGTAGTTAACATTGTATTACTTCTTGAGCTATTTACTGTCACAGGAAGGTGATGTGGCCGGTGAGATTTAAGGAGGGCCGGCCCTTCCACGCTGAGCTTAGGACCGGCCCACCGGGCAAATGCCCGGTATCACAGATTACCAGTCCCAGCCTGTCTGCAACCTAAAGCAATCATTATTAAACTTTGAAAATCTGACTTAAAGGGGGCGCTCTAGTTGGATTTTTTTCCCAGTTTGGATATGGAATTTTTCACATGCTCTCTGTGCATGCAGGGTTTCTGCTCAAAAATGATATTTTGCCCTTTAGGACTTTATTACCCTCCGATCGACTGGTGACCTGTCCAGGGTGTAGCACGCTTCTCACCAAAATACTGCTGGAGTTAGAAAAATCCACAACACAGCTTTTAGAGTTTTATCTGTCAAGAGATGTTTGCTACCTTTCTCTTTACATTGTAGATCTATTATATAAGATTATATAAAGTGCTCTGAGCTTGATGGAAAAATGACAAAAGTGTCACTTTTGCAGACAGGTTTGTGGAGCTTCTGTTCTGTATTCAATTGGTTGAGGTTTTTCTTTTTGTAGTTTTTAGCTGTCTATATATGGGTATATATGTTTTGTGAGTTGGGACCTAAGCCTTAAATGTATTACCTTGACTGCAGGACGCTGGGAATGCCCGTGGCACAGCTGCAGCATATGCGGCGCCTCTGCCTCATCTCTATGTGACTTCTGCCCGCGTTCGTATTGCCGGGACCACGAGGCGGGGGCGCTCACCCCCTCCTCTCTGGACGACCGCCTCTGTTGCTCCAACCACAATCCACTCAGTCCACTCGGCTCCGGCTCGACAGAGCCACGCCGCTTCGATGGGAGCCCCGTCGAGGAGGAGTCTGAGGGAGGGCGGCCGGCTAAAGATTGAAGCCCCAACTTTCACTATACCTCATTCCCAGCGAAGTGCTCTCTGATATCTGCAGCAGTGCACTCCCCTAGGGGGATACAGTGTATTTTTGTTTTTCTGTTTGTTTTTTTTTTATATGGTGCAATGGCTGCTGTTGGCAGCTGGGACACGCTGATGATGAACACCCTGATGCTGTTGGCAGTGAGATCAGAGCGATCCAAGGAACCACAGGGAAAGGTGACCCTGCACATTCGTGCGCTGTTTTTCTCTCCTCTCTTGCCATTAAGAGACTAGTATGGTAGTTACACTTTCTGCAGCTCGCCTGTGCCCATCTGAGGGTGCAGACCGTGTGTTGTTTTTGTTTTTTTTCCCCTGTATTTTCATTATTTTTACCGCTGTAGAGTTCACACAGAACTGTGAAAATGTATATAACCTCCTTCACTGATTTCTTCTGTTTTCGCTTGAACAAAATCTAATATCAGTTTGAATACAAAACCAGATTTTAAGTTATTTGATGATTGAAAGTTAAACAGCTGTCCAAGAGTAATTATCCTCCAAAATGTAATGGTTGTGCCAGAATCTTTTTTCGAAATCTCCATTATCTTATTGTTTTAATTCCTCTGCTTTGGTTTTTGAGTATTAGCTACCTCTTTAAAATGATACTACATTATCAAAAAGAGGTTCAGATTTTGACCACGACACTCTAGAAATTTTTTTGACTAGCTTCCCTTTTTGTGCCATATAAAAGCGATAAGCGAGTTTTTACCCATGTGCAGTCAATTCTGGGAGGCTTCGCAGCTATCATGAGTTGTTTTTTTGTTTTTCTCATATTGCTTTCACTGTTTTTCAGTGGAGTATAAAATCTTTAGAATCAGCTTTATAACCATTATCAGTAACTGAACTAGAATTACTTAAGATCGAGGCATGATGCATTTTTTGTTTCCAATATTTTAGCCTACTTCAAGCTGTCAGACTGGTTCAATTTAAGGGATTTAGGTATTTTACAGGTGTGTCGGTCTGTAGGGATCTTTGTGGTGGGTAAAACTAAACGCAGCTTTAATAAATGTTTGGTTAATAATAGATCATTCAGGATTTATCCAAGTGGGGCAGTATGCCTTTACATGGATAAAGGATGCTGCCAGTAGCTGTTTCTTCGCCCTCAATAAATGAAATCATCATTGGAAAACATTTTTTTTTTTATTATTATTTACTGGATTATTTCGGCTTGATTTTTAAAATTAGTTTAAGCCAGCACATGTTAAATGCGAAGACAAAAGAAGCCTGTAAAGGGGGCCAATACGGTTTCACAGTCCTGCTAGCGTTGCCACTTTGAAGATCTCATAGGTCAGAGAGGAAGAGGGGAGGTGCCAAGTCGAACCATGCTGCTCTCCTCCCCCCCGTTTCGCTGCTGTACGCCGCATAAAGGATCTTGTTACGATGAAGACGAGGCAGCTCTTCCTCATCACCCCCACAGTCCCCCATTCTATTACTACTACTTCTATCTTGTTGAAAAGAACTCAGAAAAATGACCAAATTTGTGCAATTTAACATTTTTCTTTAGTTTTTTTGTTTTGTTTGTTTTTTAGAGTGGGTGGGGGATGTTTTCCAGAATCACACTACATTCCAACCTTCCTTAAACATCCTTTTCTAATATACTTATGGGGTATAGATGAATATAATTAAATACAGTATCTATGTTTGTTAATGTTTACAGACAGATTTCTCTCACTTCATCTTGGTGAGTGGTGTATTACGTTTGTTTGTTTCGGTGTTGAACATTACGCAGACCTCTTTGTGAAAATAGTCCTATTAAGGTGAAATATAATGGTATATAGTGTAATGGTATGACATTACAGAAGTACTTGTGATTTCATATTGCCAGTCCCACTCGCCATTGTGTACATAATTGGCTCACCATATTATAAAGTACTTAAAAAAATCTGGAGGGTGAAGGCTCTCATGATGCAACATCCTGTTTTGGGTTTTTTATGATCTTGTGTCTTTTGATTCTTTTTCATGTTCTCTGTATAGGAATTGGAGGGGGGCCCAGCTTGTGATCACTGGTGCTGTTGATTCAAGTTTGATTTGTTTTATTTTTTGGGCTGCTGGGGTGCAGAGCATTTCGGTAATTTCATTTCACCAGTGTACTGTGTTTCTGTTTTTGTTTTTGTTTTTTGCCAAACCTATGAAAAGCACTTTCACATGGGCAGACAGAAATACAGACATGACTGAGTATTTCAAAAACGATACCTCTTCTTGTTGTAACATTGGAATTGAATCTCTGTTAGAAACATTGTGAATGCTACGTCTTCTTTTGCTTTCTTTTTTAACTAAAGTGGCCTAATTGTGGTTAGAGGTAAGGGAGGGGGGGCACAAATGGAAATAAACTGCCACCCCTGCTTTGGAGTAAGAGGAGAGAAAAAAAAAAGTCCTCCAGAGGCACTTTTTTTTTTTGTTTATTTCATGAAGAAATGGTATAACAAAAAAAAAATAAAAAAATCCAGTCCAGTATGATGTATAAACACAAACTTCTGTACAGTGTTTTTAAATCCCTCATCAAGTCGAAACTAAAGTTTTTGTATTTATTGCACCACATTTTATACTGATTCAGTTCATTTTTGTTTTCAAACACCACTGCAGTAACTTGTCTCTCTTCCCACCTAGGTTTCACAAACACAGCCATTAAAATAAAGGTAAAATGTTAAAAAAAAAAAAAAAAAAAGACTCACACACAGGGAGTTTTATGTATTCCGGCTGTGTCTGAGCATCTTTCTTACATTTGCTGTAATGATTCCACATTTGGTGACAGCAGCTGACGACTCGCTGTGTTCTAAAGCAGTTCAGTATTGGAACGTCAGGTTTAGTCGTGACAAACGTAATCGTGAGGGGATGAAAGGATTTTCTGTAATTGTGTCTCTCTGCTTTGCTTTGTTTTGTTCCATTAACGGTTGAGGTCAGAGGGGGGTAAAAGTGCCAATCATGATCTTTTCACTTTCTTTAAAGTGTCTTTTAATACCAAGACCATATGTGCTCTTTTGTTGTCTTTCAGCAGCACTGGTTTCATTTAAGTAAAATGTTTAAAAAAAAAGAAAAGTTATTTGGGGATTTTTTTTTTCCTTCAGTAATTGACTACACTCTTATTTCTGCCCATTTTTATGTTGCTCAAGTTAATTAAGACTAGAATAAATCCCAGATGCTTGTAGCTGACCTGAAAACACGTTCGCGATGTGAGTTTAAAAATATATATATTAAAATTGAAAGATTGTTTTTTTTGTTTTTTTTTCTAATGGACTATTTTGCTTGGCTGTAATAGTTTTTTTTTTATTTTTATGGTATATTACTTAATTTCTCTCACTTTAAAAATGTTTCCAGATATCATTAAACCCCAGATTGTGATATCCATTAGAGGTTTCAAATATTCACCTCAAACAGAATAAGCTGACTATAATTAGAAATATAAGGAAATTACTCTTTTAGTTTAGGTTAATGATAAAATTCTGATCCAAAGAACTGAAAACAATTAGTTTTTCTAACCTGCTGTTTTTATTTTTTATTTAGCTTCATTCAGTGCATCATTGAGGCACTTTCCTTTGCAAACTTTAAACTTGATCTTTATCTCTTTGTGTTTCTCACAGGCTTTCTTTGCTTTCTTGTTGTTTCAGAAACTGTCTTCTGATTCCGTGTCTTATTCTCATTGAAGCTTGTGTTTTTGTTGTAGCTGAATGTTGCTCAAGTGACGCGCATACTTCCAAACCCGAGGACAGATTGATGCCAACGTTTTTCATATATTGGTTGTTGGTTTTGTTTTGACTTTCACCACATTGCACAGAGATTCTGCAAAACAAACAAACCCGAACTGCCTTTATTGTTTTTTGTTGCACCTGTGGATCGCATGATCATGCTTGCTTATTTGTGCCGGTTGGTCTTCTTCAGCCCTGCTGAGCTGATGCAACTGAAGTATTACTGCTTTAATTGTTTCTATTTTTTCCACATTTATTTTGATGTTGCCTATTCTATGCTTTCTATTGCTTTCCTTTAAGTGACCCTTGACTCTCTAAGGAAGATTTTGGTTTCTTTTCTAGAAAGGACCCCCCACCCCCCTCTTTGTTTGTCTAAAGGCATGTTTTTAGTTCACTGTGACGTCTTACTTTGTGCAATGTTGGGCCGTCTGTCAGTGAGGTCTGACCTGACATGCTGTCAAATAGTGTTGGAATAAATGAATATTTTCACCTGCATAAGCACTCATGTTTTTTACTCATAGAAAACCTATTCACAGTAACTCTGACTGGGGGTCATATCTATCTCTCCAGATGTTGCTTCGGATAAACCGCGGAGGAACACACATCGCCATGTTAACTACCTGTGTTACTGCATACCACACATAGTCGAGAAACTTGTAAATACTTTGCATTGGATTTGCATAGACTCATGTTACTGTGGTGTGCTTTTTTTCTCAGTTTGTTTTGCCTGTAAAATTCTGCTTCTATATGTGTGTGACTGTTGAGAAGACACTCTTCTTTTTGTACATGACCTGTCTTTTTATTTGGGGATATTGATTCTGTCCTTTTTCATTCTGAAATTGAGTTTGAAGAGTTCAGACATGCCTGAAGTTTGACTTTAATAAAGCTGTACTCTGTCTCAGTGAAACCTTTTCATGCTTGAATTTTTGGCCCTCTGAGGACTATATTAATATGATATGATATATCTATTTCTTTTATTTTTTATTTTTTTTTTTAGAATGCGCACTTTATTTACTTGTTTTTAAGCAGACACCAAAGCAAGCATACATACATAGAACACCACACCGACCATCATTCCACTTAATATTAAGGTACAGTCAGCCAGTTGGAAAAGCAGACCAAGTACAGTCAAATTAATGTGGCTTATCAGAAATACCATTACTGACCTAAACATTAATACATTTGAAGTGTCATCTGTCAAAAATAAGGAGCGTAAATTAGGTAAATATATGTATATTGTGTTGATATTAAATTAAAACTCCAGGTGGGGATCTGTAATTTTGATGTGGCCTCCACATGTCAATGCACATAATTTGGCCATGCTGACCTCCAGGAAAATAAAAGATGTGTGCATAGATGATACTTGGGTGGAATTGATATGTGGTACAAGTTCTCACAAACGCGGTGAGGCCAGTGCCTACCTCCTGCAGAAGGGTACACCCAGTGTACTGGTCATTAGACTGTTGCAGGGCAACACAGAGACACGAAACCATGCACGACCCACTGCACCAACATAGGGTCTGACAATGGGTGCAAGGATTTCATCCTGATACCTAATGGCAGTTACGGTGTAGCTATACGGTCCAGCCTCTATAGGTCTGTGTGTCCCTCCAGATATGCCTCCCTAGACCATCACTGACCCACCACCAAACCGGTCATGCTGAACAATGTTACAGGCAGCATAATGTTCTCCACAGCTTCTCCAGACCCTTCCACGTCTGTAACACGTGCTATGGGTGAATCTGCTCTCATCTGTAAAAAGCACAGGGCACAAGTGGCAGACTTGCCAATTCCGGTGTTCTGTGGCAAATGCCAATCGAGCTCCACGGTGCCGGGCAGTGAGCACAGGGCCCACTAGAGGACATCGGGCCTGTTTCTGATTGTTTGGTCAGAGACATTCACACCAATGGCCTGCTGGAGGTAATTTTGTAGGGCTCTGACAGTGCTCCTCCTTGCACAAAGGAGCAGATACCGGTCCTGCTGATGGGTTGTAGACCTTCTACGGCCCTGTCCAGCTCTCCTGGAGTAACTGCCTGTCTCCTGGAATCTCCTCCTTGCTCTTGAGATTGTGCTGGGAGACACAGCAAACCTTCTGGCATGTATTGATGTGCTATCCTGGAGGAGTTGGACTGCCTGTGCAACCTCTGTAGGGTCCAGGTAGTACCTCATGCTAACAGTAGTGACAGTGACCCTAGCCAAATGCAAAATTGGTGAAAAAGAGTCAGAAGAGATGAGGAGGGGAAAAAATGTCAGTGGCCTCCACCTGTAAAACCACTGTTAATCTAATTAACACCAAAGCAGCTGAAACTGATTACCAACCCCCTCTGCTACTTACCTGACCAAATCAATATCCCGGAAGTTTAATTAACTTGATGCTATACTCTGATTACAAAGTGTTCCTTTAATGTTTTTGAGTAGTGTGTATGTATACATATATAGGTATATATATCTATATTTATATATATATATATCCTCCGCCTTTCAGAATGGCATGACAAGTTTAAATAAGTGGCATAAAAAATTCTTTAATTCATGATGTCATTATTTTTATTTTTAAATTTATCTTTTAAAAATGATTCGACTCACCAATTAATTTAGTGACATTAGTGTATCTGTGATTTCACAATGCATTTATAAAAAAAATATGCTCACTGTAACCAACCAATGAAATTTAATCCATAAAATGTATGAAGCGATAAAAAACCACATATAGTTTTGATATTGGAAACAAAATAACCTTTCGCCGTGCTGATGTGGCAACTTTTATTGTGAAGGTTCAAACCGGATGTCTCAGATTTAGCCATTAGCTTCACTCGCGCCTCCTCTTCCGAGACACATCTGTTTCTTCAGATACCTCCAGTGTGTATGTATAGAAAATAAAAGGATGCTGAGGCTTTGTTATATGAATGTATTAAATCAAGGATGAAGAGATAAAATCCGACCAGCTTAAGGTTAGTAATCGAGACGCTCGGTTCTGTGATTGACAACACGGAAATGAAACAGATAAAAGATGTGCTGTTTGTCAAATGTTAGCTTAGCTTATTGCAGCTATATTTTTTGTATTTTACTTTCCTTTCTTTCGACAGGCGGTGGTTTATAGCTTGGTTTTATATTTATAATGACCGAAATGTGTATTTAGCTACGGTGGCGCTCACTTTCACCTGGATGTGGATGATTTACATGAGGAGTATGTTGGCCTTTGTCAGGGTTTAGTTTTAGACAGCGGGATGAGAGACATTTCCCTTTAATGTCCTAACATTAAATGTTTACTGAAGCTCGCCCCAGACTCTCTAGTGCAACGAAGCACTGAATGTGACGAAACCGGAGAGTCGAGTCAAGTCTCTAAGAATTAAAGTGGATCTGATAGAAAAACATTTTCCAACCCAATACTACATTAGTGTACGGGAAAGGATTTTTCTTAGTAGCTGTTCACCGTGGGGACCACTATTACAGGGTTAAACAGGTGGTGTGTGACTACCTGTAATCCAAAACTGTTTATAAGAAAAGTTCCTGAAAAGTTTGTTGTGGAGAAGTTAACTAAAAATGACATTAAGGTTCTTCTGCATCCTTTCCAGTTTGGTTTTAGAAATATCTATTCCACAGAAACAGCATATTGCTACTTCTTAGATAAAATTAAAACAAATTTAGACCTTTCTAGATTAGCAAAGAGCTTTAGATACAGTCAGTCATTATACCCCTATTTTGTGAATTAGTTACTATAACCTGTCAAGTCAAGCATTAAACCAGTTTATCTATCCTAAAAAAATAGAAACTAGTATAAAAAAGTTACACACTGCTCCCTTCTAAAGACTTCATCATAAGGGTAGTGCAGGGCTTCAGCTTTAGTTTATATATTAATGATTTCCTTTTGGTTTATGACAGACCTTGCAATGTATGTAGATGACAACATCCTGTTCACTAATGGGAAAAATGCTCGGGGTATGGCATAAAGATAAAAAAAAAAAATCATACAGCCTGACATTAAATGAATGATATGTTTGTTTGTTTTTTAACAACTGGGAAGAACATTACTGATTAGTCTTCTCATAGATGCAACACAAGTTAAAATTGTACTTATTTAGATGAGGACTCCTTAACCTTAACAAACTTTAGTTTGTTAAACTTTAGACATGTATGGGGAATTCCCACTACTAACGCTTCACATCTCTACCTACATTATAAAAGTTTGTTTTATATTGCTTAATTAGCTGGTCTCTGTCATGCAAGACATTTATGATCTTCAGTCAAGATTAAAAAAAAAGTGTTTTAAATTCATGATAGGATCTAAACAATGCCACCACCATAATATTCAATATTAATATAAAGTTCTTCACTGCAGAGATGTTGAGCAGGAAAATGGTGGAAAAGATGCTAAATGAGTAATTTTATTGGAAAACCAAAAAGTAAAAGATTTCTACTATCTCATTGTTGTTTTCTAAAATGTATAAATCAAGCTCACTGCTTTCGTCTGATATATATGCTGCTTAATTATATTTTCATCATTTATGTCACACCGTCTATATTGTGTAACCTATGGGAGCTGGACTAACCAATACGTTTTTGAACCAAAGGTTTTAAAACGTAAACCCATGAACTGTCATCATTGTATCTAAGGTCAGCTTTCATGTAAAGCTAGTTGGTCTATGAATATAAAATGATAAAAGCTTTTAATGATGCACTGACAGGTAATGATTTTCTATAATTAACTGAGCATTTTCCAACCCTTTTTTTTTAAACTTTTGTTAAGTAAACGAAAGGGGAGGGGAGATGTTTGCTGTTGACTGAAGTCCACTCCAAGAACCAAAATGAAGAGGAGGCTGCTGCGTGGGTTCCTGTCGGAAATTTCCATCCGGTTGGCTCTTCTGTTTGTATTCCTGTGAGTGATATGCTCTCTCCAAATCAAAGCCGTGGATGTGGTGGTGCTCTTTACAGAACAGCTTTATGGACCCATTAGCTGAGATGCAGGTGTTGTTTGTGCTTCACTTAGCGTGACAGAGCAGCTCCCCCCTTTCTACAGAGAGATCCAGGCCGAGGAGATGTGGCTTTATAAATTCCATCGTGTGGAATCAGACCACGTACCAACCTCTCTCATGTTTGTACGTATGCATACATTTCCTTCTATGTCAGGAAGTAAAATGCCTTGCAGAAGTGTCAATACTCCTTTGAATCTGTTGTGCCAACCTCAAATTTCAAATTGATTTGTTTCTTTTGATTGTTTTTTTTGTTTTTGTTTTTGCAACAGATCAACATAAAACTGAGAAAATAACAGTGTAGTGGGATTGTGATGGGGAGATATATATATATATCCAGCCCCCTGATAGCCCTAATTAAAAGTCAGCCAATGTATGCAGGAGAAACAAACTTCTGGGCCAAAGTGCAAATTACCATATGATGCAGGAAAACTGACACTGAACACATCAAAGTTACAGTTAAACATGGTGGACATTCTGGGAAGAGATGATGGTAAACTTCAACAAGACCATCTTTGGAGAAAACCTATCAGAGGTTGGCTACCTGTGAGCAGCTTAATGACCATAAAAAGCCATAGTCGCAATAGAAAGGTTCCCATTAAATCATATTCATGTGCTCGAGTAGTCTAGTCAAATTCCAGACTTCTACACGTTTCAGAATCTCTAGCAAGAGTTGACAATACATACTCTGAACTCTTGCTGCTTTCTTTGTATCAAAAGGAGTTCCTACAAACTGTTAAATGAGGGGGAATCATTTATATGCATGCAACACTTCAGATTATCTTAAAATGAAATAATTTTCCCTCCTTTTTGCAACTATGCTTTATTTACACTAGTTTTTATCTTTCACAAAAAATCTTATCCAATATATTAATTTTTTGCTCTCTATAGATGCTTCACCTGCATATGAGTTATTAAACTGTTTAATTCCTTTCTCTTATACAATGTTTTGTGAATCATCTGGAATTAGTTCAGGGTAATTAGTTCAGGGTACAGATGAAGATTGGCAGTAATGTTTGATATTTCCTGGAAAAATGTTTAGTTTAAATCTACTTTATATCTTGTGTTTGGAACTTTAGCTGGATTTTTGTAGCTGATCTTTATTTTAAAATGTAATGCAGCCTTTTTCTGTGTATTTATTCCAGAGTGTGGCTGTTTTCACCCCCCTGATTGTAATCTTGATTTTTCACCTATTGAAAAAGTCTGAGGAGGGAGATCTGAGAGAAGCATCATTGGGTAAGAACTAAATTCCCTACAAACAGTTTTTTTTTCTTTTTTTTTCTCCCTATTTTCACGCCATCTTGCTGTTTGAGGTGACGTGTCTTTTTCACAATTTAGTTCTGTTTCCCCCTGTCATCCAGCTGTAACTCTGACTCTGGTGCTCAATGGAGTTTTTACCAACGTCATCAAACTTGTTGTTGGGAGGTAAAAATGTTTGAACGCCGTACACTGTTTAGCTTGTGTGACAGTCCATGAAGACATCATTCTTTTGTTGTTTTTTTCCCCTTCAGGCCGAGACCAGACTTCTTCTATCGCTGTTTTCCAGACGGTCAGATGAACTTGGAGCTGCGATGCAGTGGTGACCCAGACGTTGTCACAGAGGGAAGAAAAAGCTTCCCTAGCGGACATTCCTCCTGTGAGAAGCTATTTTGGTCATCATGCTTGTATAAGTGGTTATACATTTTTTTACATGTTTAAAGTTATATTTATATTATATTTTATAGTTATATTTTATCATTTTATTATGTGTAAAAAATAAAACCACAAAAACATTCAAACCCATCTGACGTTAAAGTGAAGAATTAATTACTGCATCCTTCTTTATACAGATCTTAATCAGATCTTAAATGAACCGCATTGTTTTAATTCAAGCCTAGTCGTACCCAACCCTGATTACTTCTAATCCTCTGTCTATACATGTTGTGATAAAATAATTATCCACTACACCTAATAATTGTGCCATCAGTGACGAGATTAGCATGCCCCTGATAGAATGATAGTTTACATTATTGTGGAGGAAATCCGTAAAAAAGGTTTAAATTAACCTGGATAGTGCGGTATTAACAGCTTATTTACCGTAAGTTCAAAGAAAGATGAATTCATAAATTCATCAGTTGTAGATTTAGAGCCAGAGCAGGAAGATCCCATCACACTGTCTCCACCGTGTGCGGCTGTTGGTATGATGTTCTCATTATAAAATGCTGTTAATTTTGACAGATTGAACAGATTCACAACTTAGAAAAAGTTCAAATTTGGTCTTGTTTAATTCACAGAACATTTTCTGAGAATCCTCTTTAGGATTGTATTTTTTTTTTTTTTTTTTAGATATGTAAGATTAACCTTTTTTTTCTTTTGATTAGCCATGGTTCTGGCACCTTGGACATTTTCCATGAATACTAAAACATTAGATTCAGTTTTGATTCTCTAGTGACTTCCATGTTTTTCTACCTGCATAGAGAATGTCTTGCATGGATTAACTAGAGGTCTAACAAATATCTTTGTAAGCTTCTCCAGATTAATAGATCTTTCTACTTGGTTCTCATATCTCTTTGGTTCAGAGTTGGAATCGTTTTATGCCATCAGACTGGTCCTGTTTAAGTGATTTCTTTTTTTATTGACTCTAAAGAGCAGACCATAATCTGTTGTGGTTACTTAAAGTGAAGCTAATTAATGTGGATAATTACAGTTAATGTTAAACCAGCCTGGTTGGTTTAGATAGAATAAATCCCAATATATTAAACTGCTTTTTCAATTTCCTCCGTTTCTTTGCCTGATGTTAAAAGATGTTGGATCTGAAATATTAAGTGAGAAGAATGTTCAAACTACCGGTAGCTCAATTTTAGTTGTTTGTTTTTCTGTCACAGATTCTAGATGTGTTGTCACTTCCAGAAGACTCTGGTGAATGAAAAAAAAGTCCACCTGATAATCAAAGGGTCTCTCTCTGCCTCTGTTTTTTCAGTGTTGCCTTAAACTTCCTGTTTTTTTTCTCAGTTGCTTTTGCAGGTTTGGGTTTCACCTCATTGTACATCGCAGGAAAGCTGCGCTGCTTCAATCCAGCTGGCCAGGGCCGAGCATGGCGGCTGTGTAGCTTCCTTACCCCTTTACTCGTCGCTGCTGTAATCGCCCTCTCCAGGACCTGTGACTACAAGCACCACTGGCAAGGTCAGAGTTTAAGGCTATTGTTTGCCATGAAATATAGCATTCATTTTCACAAACTTAAAAATAGATACCCAGACTATCAAGGACGAAAATGAATCAGGTAAATTATTAATAAATGTGCAGGAAAGTATGTTTTTTAATATAAAACATCAGAAGTGAATCGCGTTTTGTTAAACTGTTAGATATTTCACAATGCTACCAGAAAAAGGACAAAATATAACTTTGGTATTTATTTATTTTTTTGGTACATCCTGAACACTCTGGAAGTAGTTGAAGTAAATTCACGCTAAATAATTTGTTTAAAAAAAATGTTGATAGTTATTGAATACTGGAATTAAATATGGTGGAAATCCTCTATATATTTAGAAAACATTTCTGGCCTTCCATGACCCATTTAACAAAGTGAATAAAAGGATTAAAAAAAAATTATCAGAAATAGAAATGAATAATTCTTGTTATGTTACCATCATTGTAAAAATTGATTTTCCTTTATTTTCAAGTCCTTGTTACTTATTCTGCATAAACATTTAATTAAAGAAAGAAAAACTGAAAATTAAAAAGATAATTTTTATTTTGTTATATCCCCCGTATGTTTTGTTACAGTATTTTCTAAGCTCTGTAAGAGCATAATTGGGTAACATATATATTTTTTTCATTACTTGTAAGATGGAAGTATTTCAAATTGTCTTTACCGTAATCCTCATTGATTAAAAATATTCTTCAAATATGTAACCCTCTTTTTAAATTTCTAATGAGACAAAAAAATATAGTATTTATCATTTATTGTTTTGGAAATTCTAAACATAAATGAGAGATTGAATCAGTATTTTCAAACGCTTTTTGACTCCAAATTCTGTTGTTTTTTTTCTTCATCCCACACACAGATGTGTTAGTGGGGTCACTGCTGGGTCTGGCCTTTGCCTGGCTCTGCTACCGACAGCACTTTCCTCCAGTTCAGGACCCGGATTCCCACAGGCCGATCCGTCACAGAGACACGGTTCCAGCTGCACAGGAGCGAAAGTTGACCAACTCTAACTTCCTCCTGCCTCTGTAGCCACCTGAAGGGTCGCCATTTCCACTGCGTTCTAAAGAGATATGTGGAACTCTGTTTTTTCTAAAGCTGTTGGGTTATAAAAAAAAAATTGTGTGTGTTTATCCTAACTATTTTCATTTGTAGGTTTGAAAATTCTATGAATGTGAATGAATTACTACAACATCAACAGTTCCAGTTTGGCAAACTAAAGCTGAACATGTCTGATTGGTCAGTTCTTGGGTTGTCATGATTTCATTCCCCACATGACCAACTCTTCAGCTCTTTAGGTCATGGCGACTGAGCCGTTTTTACTACACACCCACTGCAGTCTTTGGCTCAACTGCTTTGGCCATTATTAATTGATTGATTGTTAAACTTGCAACTTTTTCCAACAAGCAGAGCTATGGTGTTTATTTGCACTACTCTTTATTCTTGACTGTATTGAACATGTTTAGTTTTAAAGGCTAAAACCTGAGGGTGTGTTTAAGAAAAAGAAAAATCTGGCCTTTGATCATCTGCTGGTATTGACGTAATCTCCACTGAAAAAATAAGAAATAAGTCAGGAGCAGAAACATGAATCTATTTGGAGTTTGGGGGCATTTTCCTGCTTGTGGTTTTGGACTCAAAGTAGCCAAAGCACAACCCTGAAACCCTGCAGGATATTGCCTTATTTCTTATGGAAGGATTATTAGGAGGGTGACATGTGAATTGACCTTAATTTTCTAACTTCCATTCCATTCCTTCTCCTTGAAAAGCATATTTCATATTGTTTCAAACTGCGTTCATTCCATGTTTGTTCAAGCTTGTTTTTCCATGACATATTGCAAAGTCTCTCATTTGACATGGTGAGGGTTTATGCAATGAGTTTTTCATTGCAAAAAGACAAAGACCACGAGGTCATCAGTTGCATCTCCCTCATTAAGCTCAGACTCAAAGGAGCTAAGCTGCTACAGCTGATCATCACACACTTGATAAGCTTAAAGCTAAATAACACCTTCAGTCATGTTAATGAGTGAGGGGGAGAAAAAAAACAACCCCCACTCCATCCTTTTTCTGCCTCACCATTTGGCATTCCCACTCTCTCCACATACTCCTATGGAAAAGGTCCACAATCCGTTATCAGTCACAGATTGGCGTGCTTCTAAACAGGAGTGTCGCAGCGTAGAAGTAGCATCACTGAAAGACTATCTTTTTATGTTCAAACTTCTTTTCTCAAAGACTGATCACTATTGATTTAGAAAAGCTTGATGGATTTAGATCAACCGTGCAGCACTGGGACTTTTTTCAGTCACAGATGATTTAGGACCACAAATAAATACTCTGGCATTTAGGAATCATATATATAAATTTTTAGCCACAGCTGTTATCAAAGATATTGAATAAATTAATGTTAATAGTCATGCAGCTTCATTAATGCCCATCCTCCATGGCTTTGCCATTATTACCCGTGTATTGTTGCCTTTTTTGGATTGTTTCAAGTCTTCCTGTAGTATATTTTGGATGGTGTTGTTTACTGTTACTTTGTTGGTTTTTAGTCTCTGGCTTCATGTGCCAAACTCATAGTACAAGAAGCAAATGTAGCAGAGCCACTCCGTGCTTTTCACCATGATCCTAGTGCCTGCTGTACTTTAAATGTAACTTTAGTCTCTGCTATAGTGGAACAGCCCATCTGGTCATATTCTTACAGGGTTTTATGACGGTAAAGGAACGATTTCCTGCAGTGGATCTTAGGGGTACTGTATGTCTGTTTTTTGTGGAGGTCTGGCTCTGTGGATTACTTATACGGGTTAATTTCTTGAAATTGGATTTTACATCAAGAAAAGAAGAGAAACATAACAGGAGGTAGTTCTAGTAATAGGCACAGGGTGTATAAAAGCCTCACTGTAGAGCTTTAAGCAAATACCACAGCTTCACTGGATTAATTCTCAAATAAATAGAAAAAATGTATAACATGATCTTTTTATTTTAAAACAGATTACAACAATTATTCCATCATAATGTAGATTTAATACTCTTATAAATTGGTAGGTTTTTTTGAGTAAATGTGCTTATTGTCTGTTCAGTAGTATATTTTTAAAAGATTAACTGGTTAATATTATTTTTCAGTTAGTCTGTCTTCTCATGTAGCGAGTCTTCTGCACAAACATGCTGACTGCATCGTTTAAAGATAAGCTAATAAACAGGTTCTGTTACCAGAAGTGATGGGTAGCAACTCTTACATTTTAACACCATAAGGGTTTGTTTTTATTTTGTTTTGCAGCCATAAATATTTCCAGGCAGACGATGTTTTCTAAGATAGATGATTGCGTTAGCCTTCCTTCTGCCAGCTGACTTGAAATGGAAAGTTGGAGACGGACGGCACTAAGTTACTCCACCGACTGTAGAACCAGATTTTTTTGTTTGATTTAAAGGGGAACAGACCGTAACTTCTTTTTCTGCTGGTGCTAACCTTGCATTTCTCCTGCTGGCCAGGTGCTGTAAATGGCCAAAAATTAAAATCTCACTTTTTATTACATTTAATTTAAAAAAAAGGAAATTGTAAACTTGTTTTTGTTCAGTTGTAGTGTGATTTTTCTGTTTCATGTTAACATTTTGTTCATCTTCCGGATGATGGCAGCTACAGAGTTTGCAGCCTCAAAGCGCATCTGCCCTCAGAATCACAGCACTCATATCAGATTTATCAGGAAGGAAATGACAGATAATTAGTGAATTTGATTACTCTACAGCTCTTGTTTGGTGGGGGAAAAAAAGTCCACGCTGTGTTTTGCAGCATTTGCTTGCCCTGTTATTTTACATGTAAGAACTCTGTTGTTAAAATGCAACTCAGTGTTTTGATGTGGCATGCTGCCTTTCTTTACCTCAGAAAGAAACCTGTTCAAAATGTTACTTTTGATGCCATCAAGTGTGAATGTTTTTAATATGGACAAGCAGATCATAGGATCAAGCGTATTTAATTTTATGGCAAACTTGACTTTACATTAATATTGATTTTTGTTCAGATGTGATGCTCATTAAATTTAGGATTCATATTCTAGGGCACTTTGTTGTTGTTGTTTTTCTGATAGGCTGCTTCTTTTTGATAAAACTGCATGTTTCACTGTTAAACAATAACTAAACTCACAACTCCTGTTCATCAGTTAGTTGTAGTTTGTATTTCATGTAATCTGTTTTAGGTTAATGCTACGGTTTCTGCTCTAATGTCAGGGAAATTATTCACAGAACTGCTTGCTAGCTTTAGCTCACGGCCACATGTAGCTGCTCACGCTGATATGATGTCCTGATTTTCTTTTTTTCTTTTTGTCATTCCAAGTTGTAATGCTTTCTATGAACACTTTACTGTGTTGGGGAAATACTCCTGGTATTTGTAATTTCATTATTTTTTTTGTGTTTGTTTGTTAATTAATTGCAAAATAAAACCAGAAATGTATCTCGTAAAAAATGGTTTGCATGTAATATTTGTTGCCTTTTGACCTGTCTGCACCATGTGTATACCCCTTGTTAAAAATCATAGTTTATTTTATGACTTTGATATATTACTTCAAACCTTTTCTACATAAACTAAATACATTTTACAAGTTAAAACTTAACTAGTTGGCAGGTGGTGCAGTGGTTAGGGTGCACGACCCATGTACGTGCATGTATGACTAAATTTTAGATAGGCATTATTAAAATTGAGATATCTGGAATTCTAATTTAACTATTCATAAAATAAGTAGTTGATATCTGTAATTTTATTTGTACTAGCAGAAATATATTTTAGATGTCAAGATATGTAGATATCTGTAATGTGCGATATTAATTTTTCATATCTGAAATAGCAATTTTGACAAGCAGTAAGCCTATTATGGAGATCTAAAATTAGAATTAATCCTGGTCACAATTCATTTTAGGTAGGAAGAATGTTATTTTAGAAATCTAAGTAAAAGCCCAATGCACATGAATGGGAAACGTGACGTTATTTGTACTGGTAAGAATTACATTTCAGCTATCTGAAATGTTTATTTTAGATAGGAAGAATTTTATTTTAGATATCTGAAATGTTCATTTTGACTAGGAAAAAATGCATTTGAGACATCCGGAATATATATTCACTCAAGCTAATAAATGTCAAATATGGCCTGCCATACTAGAGGCTTCCCATCTCTATGATGGGCGTGGTCTAAGGTATCTGACGTTTCCACAGTCTAGGCCGCTGATTGGTCCGACGTGTCGCACGCTTTTGGCGCCAGATTTGCGACACGGAACACAACAGCTCCGCAGTGTCTGTGTCCGTGGGAGCTCCTGTAGTGATAGCAAACTAAAATTACTTCTCCATTCAACCATTTTGGGGACTTTTATCAGGCTCGCAATCGAAACATGTTCATCACCGACATAAAGAAAGGTTTTTATGACGTTGTCGTAAACCAGGTAAGTACTTTGAAGCTGTTTGATAGCTAATAACTTATCACAGAGGGCTCATATCAGACGGGAATAATGTTTTTTTGTGCTTCATTCGTGCCTCTTTGCACTCAGAGAGTCGCTCTCCTGGTTGCAGCGGACATCGATGCCCTCTGCGCATGTAAAATATTGCAGGTAAGATGAATTGTTGGGTCAGCGTGGATTAGCTCATCTGCTAAGGTAGAAGGCTACTGGGAGGTCATAACAAAAGAGACATGCCCAAACAGTTTAACATGAAAATAACAGGTCCGTGCATTAAGTACACCTTACCAATAGTCTTTAGAGTAAATAAGTATTTTTATTTATTCAAGTGTAATATTTATCTAAACTATGTCGATGTTTGCCCTATGCTTTTTCTACATTTGTTTTTCCAAGTCCATTACGATAGCAGACACAAATCAAATTGAACACAGATATTTTCGTTGAATAGTTTTTCTTAAAAATGTGATTAATGTCTGACAGTTAAGAAAAAAAGTTGTGTGCTGGTAGAAAATTCTTGACTCCCACAGTAAGTCAAAGATCAGACATATGCCCCTTTTGTTTTCTGTAGACACCACATTTTGGAACTTTTTTCCCCATATTTTCCCAATGAGATCATATCATCATCTAAATTTGGCAGTAATGCATTATAATTTAGGTAGAATTAGACCTTAAGTAACGTGAGCTAAACCTGACTATATGGCTTTTTAAAAATGCGACGGGTGTGAGAGAAAACTTACTGGATCTGCTTCATAAGTGCAATTTAAGTATAACACTGGAAATCAAAATGCATCAACAACTAACTTTTAAATTATCCTTATATTTAGTTATGTAAGCTGTATTTTTTAGTATTACCATAACTGCTTATCCATTGATTTGACTAATGGCTGTCTAAATATGATTGATGGTGAACTCTTTGATTAGAAATTCAGCTCAAACAGTTGATTAGTTTGATTAGCCCATGGATGTGATCAACGTCTACAACACCACTCTGGTGATTTCTCATGCTCAGTTCAAATATAGACAACCGGACTTTAGCTCAAACTGTTGATTAGTAGACGTTCCTGTTGTTTCTTTCCTAGGCGCTGTTTCACTGTGACCAGATCCAGTACACGCTGGTGCCGGTCAAAGGCTGGCAGGACCTCAGCACGGCTTTTCTGGAACACAAAGAGCAGGTTAGATGCCTGAGCGTTCATATGATGATGATGATGATGATGATGATGGTAGTTGCATAGGAAGAACTGTTGAGCTTTTCACCCCCTCCACTCTGGCCTGAAGGTTTTCCTTTGTCGTGTTTTAGTTTCGATACTTTGTCCTTATAAACTGTGGCGCCAATGTCGACCTTCTTGAGATGCTGCAGCCGGACAGCGACTCCATTTTCTTCATCTGCGACACCCACCGGCCCGTGGATGTGATCAACGTCTACAACGACACTCAGGTGATGTCCCATGCTCAGTTCAAATATAGACAACCAGACTTTAGCTTTAATTGTTAAACTTTTTTCAAATTTTCTCACATTACACGGTATATATATATATATATATATGAAAAGTGAGACATGTACTAAGATTCTGCCCTTCTGAGTAAATCAGATTATTTTTCTTTTCATTGCAGTAGTAGTTTGCTTCCGTTACAACTCAGGAGGATTATATAGAAAGATTACCATCAAACCTTTCTACAGAGTCTTAATTGACATGAGTGTGAGCTGTGCCATCTGACAAACAAATTATGTTTGTGATGGAGGATACAGGGCTACTCGAGATTGACAACAGGAATACGTTTTTTTGACAGAATGCATAGGCGGGTTGTAAGTTTGTGTGATTGGATTAATTCATCGGCTATCGATAGACCCAACCCTTCAGTGATATTTATTTTAAGAGCTGAGACAAAAAAAAAAAAAAAACAATGCTGTTTTTAATGCTACGCACAAACTCCTTTCAGCTGTAGGTTTTTTCCCCGGTACCAAAGTGCAGCTGCAATTTATTCTACTTACAGAAAAGAACAGATTAAAACCAGAGACCGATTTTTTTTTATTTTTAACAGCCAAACCAGAGAGAGGTGGGGTTTTTTGTTTACAGGCCGATTTTAACACACAAATACAAAATTAAATGGCAAAAAAGGAAAATTCTCTCCTGTTGTGCTCTTTCCATAAAAAAAAAAATCTCCTTTGGTTTTGCACATTTAGATAAGTGGATGAATAACATAAAAAAAAAACTATAATGTCCTATAACATAGAACAACTGCAGAAGAGGAAACTATTCCCATGGGACGAAGCTATAATGTTTATCTTATTGGGTTTTAGTGCTTTTCTTTGCTCGCAAAGTCTCCTTCACCAATATATGATCCATCTCCATGTTGGTCTCACGAATATCGTTAGGAAAATTGTTGCCTATTGCCCAACCTTAGCATGTTGGCTGTGAATGGATAAGCTGTTGGCACTCATTACTGTTGCAAAACTGGGGGAGGAATTTCTGAATGTAATGCTGAATGTTAAAAGAATTGTAAAAATCTGAACCTTGTTTTTTATCATGGACAAATTTGTTGGTAACATGTTAAATAGAAGAGAACCTGCAGTGGTCCCAAAAATACCCTGAATCTGACAAAAGTAATGATGATAAATAAAAATTCTTTGAAAATTAACAAATTAACAAATGAAAGTCAGCAAAAACACAGAAACCTAACTGATCTAGAGAAGATCTGTGTGGAGGAGTGGGCCAAAATCCCTCCTGCGGTGTGTGCAAACCTGCACAAAATCTACAGGAAACATTTGACCTCTGTAATTGCAAACAAAGGCTACTGCACCACATATTAATATTGATTTCTAAGATGATCAAATACCTATTTTCAGCTGTATCGTACAAATAAATAGTTAAAAGTTCATACATTGTGATTTCTGGATTTTTTTAGATTATGTCTCTCAGTGCACATGCACCTATGATGACAATTTCAGACCCCGCCATGATTTCTAAGTGGGACAACATCCAGGAAAGCAGGGTGTTTAATACTTATTTTCCTGACTGTATAGGGCTACAGGTAGACACTGTGCTTTTTGTTGACATGATGTGTATCACTCAACATGGACCAGAGAAAGTGAGAAAAAAAGTTGTCTCAGGAGATTAGAAAGAAAATTATATAAAAGTACGTTAAAGGTAAAGGCTAAAAGACAATCTATCAGTTTGATGTTCTTGTGACTACAGGAACTACATGTTAATGAAAAATTCAAGATCTATGGTACAGTGGCACATCTCCTTGGATGTTGCAGCAAGTGGAAAAATGATAACATATTGAGAGAATAAAAAAAAGAGCCCAGAAAACCATCTAAGCTTAAGGAACATCAGTATCACATCGTACCATCTGTCAATGCTTGAACCAAAGTGGACTTAATGAGAGACGACCAAGCAGGACCTCACTGTAGAAAACTAATCTCAAAAAAGCCAGACTAGAATTTGGAAAACTAGATCTTCTGAAACTAGAGAGATTCTGGGAGAATAACAGATGAGACAAAGATTGAACCTTTTTGCCTCCATTTTCTCATATGAGGCAAATCCTTACATCTCTGCAGATGTAAGGATTTCCTACACAACCCCAAAATATCAAAATAAAACAGCCGAGTGATTTCAGTAGGAACATGAATTTCACACATGGCCAAACCCCAAGAGTTAGACTTTCGATGTCCACAGATAACCCCACCTGAGGCGTGGATCTGTGCAGCTCCTCCAGAGTTACTGCCTGTCTTTTTGCGGTTGTTTTTAAAATTTGTTTCTATCCTCTTGTTCATGCTGATGGTTTAGGAAGTTTACCGTGACTTTGCAGAGTTGCTTTAGTGCCGTACTTTTTGAACAAACCTTTCTGACTTTTTAAACCTTTTTCAATATTTTCTCTTCCTTCGATGTCACAGTGCTGATTGATTGCTAACCCTCTCCTAGAGACTGGTTATGTCATTGAGAGCCATTTGCACCGGGCTTTAAGTAGGGGCAAAAGAGGCTGACAATAAATGTACGCACTTGATATCATTCTTTCTCCCGTTTACAATCATAGACAGTTTCGCCTTGTTCTGCTACATAAAAGCCCCAGTACTTAAAAGTTAAAGCTGTATGCATAACTGTAGACTGAGAAGATCTGTTGACTGCATTAATAAGGATTATTTGGTTATTAAAGACACTCTAAACTAATTTACTATTGAACTCTTGTTAACCTGAGTATGCAAATTACAAAAGAACCCAATGAAAGCAATAATTAAACCAACTTTGTACTAAAACGTATAGATTTTTCAATAAAGGCAAAGGAAACGAAAAATAAAATCAAGACACTAGTTGTCTGTAAATATGATCTAACCAGAACTCATCAAGGGGTTTTGTTTTAGCTTCACCTGGTTAAAAAAAAAATCTCCCATTTATAGCCTTTTACTATCAGACCATTAACTGACTGATAATAAGAAAAAATGGGTTAACAGATCAATTAATTAACCAAATAATCCTTAGTTGCAACCCTTAAAGGTTAAAAGTTAAGAATGGTAATCAGCATTTATTTAATAAATCATTGTCAGAACTAATGTACCAATGAACAGCACTAAACATATGGACAGTTTTTAGTTTATGTATGTAGCACTAATGAAATAATATAAATAAAACACCAAAAGATGCAAGATGACAAGGATTCTTGGTTGTGTGGAGGTTCTGCTCATGGGGGCCCCAAAGCAGTCTGGAAATGAAGGTAATTAGATTGTGCTTTTTTTTCCAAATCTGGAAAAGGCAAATAAGACAATAACTATGAATATTTCCAGATGTTTCCATAAAAATTCAAAAATATCCACTGAACTTGGTTTTCAAGATTTGAAGACGTTTCGCCACCTCTCCAGGAAGCTTTCTCAATTCAAGAAAATAATTGAATTGAGAAAGCTTCCTGGAGAGGTGGCGAAACGTCTTCAAATCTTGAAAACCAAGTCCAGTGGATATTTTTTGAATTTTTTTGAATTTTTACGGAATGACTATGACCTGGATGACTGATAACCTTCATCAGCATTTCCAGATGTGATTTTCTAAACTGGATTTGTGTCCTTGCTATTTTCCTTGTTTCCTACCTACCTAACTTTTCTGATTACCTTTGATGTGTCATTTATTTGTTTATTCCATCGATGTCTCCTTTCTCCCTTCCTTTCTTATAATGTCTGCACTATCCAGCCCAGTGGTCTTTTCTGTCCTTCCCTAACTTATCCCCTGACCTTGTAATCCTTATTTCTTTCCCTTTGTTCCTACATCAATTACAGTTCTCTGAGAAGTCTGATGATTTTACATGATAAAAGTAGAAACCACTGATCCAGAGAGTACTTTGGATTTTATGCAATCAAGAAAAATGTTGGGTGTTTAGAGCTTTTCTATCAGGTCAAATACTGAGTCTCATCAGCTGGAAGGTGAACAGGCCGTCATCCCTTTATGAAAGATATTATTTTGTTCTCCGTCTCCTCTACAGATCAAGCTGCTCATCAAAGAGGACGACGACCTTGGCGTGCCGGCATACGATGACATCTTCCAGGACGAAGAGAATGAGGAAGACTCTGGGAATGAGAGCGACGAAGGCTCTGAGCCGTCAGGAAAACGGAGGAGATTTGATGAGGTGAGCTGAATATGCTGAAGGCAGCTGAGCCGAGCCTAAAGACTGGGGCTGACTGTTATGGCATTGCAGGGAGCCGTCGAGAGGAGGATCGAGAGGCAGAGAGCGAAGAGGGAGTGGGAGGCGAGGAGGTGATGGCTTTAATTAAAAGTAATCTTCAAGAGTCCTACGGGCTTCCTGCGGGTCTTTTAATGCTCCTCTTTATGCTCTACTTTATAAAACAAAACAATATTTTTTTTCTTTTTGTGTTCTTACACTTGTCATTCATCAACAGCTCTTATATGCTGTGGAATGAACAGGCTGACTGGCACTGTACAAAATAAATTTTAACAATTTTGACATTAAAAGACCTTCTGAGACGCTGGAGAGACAGTGACAGATTTTAAAGTTTCACTCTGGAAGAATTAAATATTCTTCTAAAGAATTTCCACTTTTTTTTTTGGGATTGACAAAAATAACTGGGATTCTTCTGTCTTGTAGGAGGGAAATTCTGTTCGACTACGAGCAGTATGAATACCACGGCACCTCTGTGAGTATGCTGAGCCGATCACTCCAGACCAGGCTGAAGACAATTTGTTGGAATATATGGAAATCCATTAGGTGTTTTTTTTTATTCAATTATTATATTTGCCAGGTCTGTATAAATGGGATAAAGACAGAGCTCTTGAAGGTTTTAATCTAGTGGGCACATCTATTCATCAGTTTATCCATTTATCAATCCATCCCACAGCAAGGCTGCTTGTGCATTCAACTTTCCTAACCCTCATCCACACTTCAAACTCTCTTCTTTCTCTTTGTCCATCTCTCCATTTCATGTTTTTGGTCACTGAGGACCTGAATGTAGAGAGTTGTGTGGCAAAAAACATCGATCACTTACGACAAAAATAAAAACGCCTACAATGGGATACCCAAGCATTCATGCAGCACAGGGGAATGAATGACAAGGTTATCGGCTCAAAGGAAAACGTGGCCAATTAGATGGGAGAATCCAACAAACAGCAATGGGAACCAGTTGGTTTAATGATGCAGGTGTTGGAGAAATGAGAAGACAACCAGGGAGAGGAGGAGCAGGTGTGCCTAAGGGAAAATTAGGAAGCTGAGGGGGAAACGCTGAGCTGAAATGGAAGGAAACTACCAAGGGGAAGAGATGGAACTGGAAAATAAGTCAATATATATGTTGACATTTTATTTAATAAAGACATTTAAACACATTTTTAAGTATTTCAATATAAGCTGCAGTCTGTGGTTTACAATGTTTGTCACTGACTGATGTTCCGGTCTCAGGCAATTTGAGAAGACGTAACCCACAGACAGCTGCAGCTGTAGGCTTACAGCTGCAGCTAAGCTTCACCACTGTAAGGTTTAACCACAAAATGAGCGACCATGATAACATAAACGTTCCCGTTTTGAATGACCTGTCCCTGCAATCGTTTTTAACTTTATGATTTATTCTGATAAAAAAATAAAGAAATATATTGTGGTAGATTTGCCCTATTCCTTCCTAGATATAGTTCTAGGAAGAGATGTTAGATGATCTAATAGAATATATAAAATAGATAAAAATAAAAGGAGAAAAATAGAACATCAAAAGCACAAATTAATATCAAAATAATTAAATGTATATTAACTGCAAAAAAAATAAAGCACAAAAGAAAAACAAAGACCTGGTAAGGGGATCATCCATCCCATTTCTATCCTTTTGTCAGTTTCTTCCATCAATTAATGTTCCTCACCCTTAGTGTCTGTCGATCTATCATATCCTTCATCAGTCAGACCTTCCCCGTTTGTCCATCCGACCATCTGCCGTTAACTTGTAGCTATTCACTTTTAATCCTTTAAAAGGTCTGAAATGAACAGACAATGAGGAGTGTCTGAGATCTTGCTCTGAAAGATGTGATTTAGAGAAGTTTCTCTTTGCAGGCTGCAATGATGTTTTTTGAGCTTGCCTGGGTTCTGACCAAGGACACAAAGGACATGCTGTGGTAAGCCTCATCTGTGATCATGTTTGTTCATACTCTGTCCTGCAGGCTGCTGCATGTTGACTGTAATATTTGTGTTGCAGGTGGGCTGTCATTGGTCTGACTGACCAGTGGGTTCATGATAAGATCACACAGTAAGATTAACCCCAGGATATTTCAAAGCTTTTGATCCAAACTTCATTCGTTTCTGTCTCACAAAGAGATTTTATGTTCCCGTCTCAGCATGAAGTATGTGTCGGATATCGCAACGATGCAGCGGCATGTTTCCCGCCATAGCCACCGAAACGAGGATGAGGAAAACTCTCTGTCCATCGACTGCATGAGGATCTCCTTTGAATACGAGTATCCTTTGTGTCTGTCAGCTTCTCGTGAAGGATCCTCAGCTTGTTCGGTTGTATATGTTTCCCCTTAACGCTCTGCTCCAGTCTTCGTCTGACGTTGTACCAGCACTGGTCTCTGTATGAGAGCATATGCAATTCCTGCTACACAGCATGCGGCTTCCAGCTTTGGACGCTGAAAGGCCAAAAGAAGCTCAGAGAGTTCTTGGCTGATATGGGGTACCAGCTTCAAAGTCAAGAGTTCTGTGTAAAAACAAAGCTGATTGTTTTGTTTTAAGGTTTGTCTCATCATGTTTTGTTCTGTATGTTTGTTTAAAGGCTGCCGCTAAAACAAGTGAAACAGAAATTTAAGTCTATGGACATTACAATCAAAGAAAACCTCAGAGACGTCATTGAAGAGTCCTCGAATAAATTTGGGTAGGTAAACTGCTTCTAAATATGAGTTTTCTATCTTTTCCCCCAAAGAGTCCAGCTAACACTTATTTAAACTAATAATTTATTTTTTAAATAAATTAGACAAACTTTTTTATTTATTTATTTTTTTGCAGTAGTGTTGATATTTTCTTCAGTCTTAAAATATTTCTATAGATATTTCTGATACTTATTTTGTGGATCACAATAAAACTTTTCCATTTTCCATTTATTAACATCTCAAAAGCATTAATTATTTTTTAAATTTTTTTCTTTAGCCCAAAAATTCCCAACATAAATAAAAAAATATCAATAAAATGTCCAAAAATGTACCAACATTTAATCACATTAAAGAAAAAGAGAAGAATTTAAATAAAGATATTTAACATGAGTAGTGAAAACTTAATAAAATTCAAGCAATCAATAAGGGCCTTTTTACATTGACTTTAAATATGAATAAATAATTAATGTCCCTTTATCATTTACTAGATGAAAATAAATATGGCAAAAAAAGGAAATTTTACATTAAGGATGATGACAGTGAAAATAATAATTTCAATACAAATTGTGATATTTGCGGTAGTAATAAAAGTATGATCATAATAACGTTTTAGTTACAAGATTTATGCTTCCGCTTAGGATAGTCGTGGTTGATGTTGGTGCATCTTTTATTCTATTAATACTGTTTTGATGAGGACGTTTGTTTATATATCATTAGAAATTGTGTGTTAAATGTATGCAGGTGCTGCAGGCTATATAGGGATAATATAACGAGTTTAACATGTAGCTGGTTTGGATTTTTCAACATCTTCGTTTCCATTAGTGTCTATGGAGTTAAATTGGTGCCATGAATTTGTCAAAAAAAAAAAAAATCAAGTCTTAAAAAAATGGATTGGAGAAAAAGATTCAAGTAAAAAAAAAAGGTTTGTTTAAAAGAAAAACTACCTTTGAGATAAATATTTTTACTTGTTCAAAAAACGATTTACAATTTACAGTTTTATTTTAGTCTATTCATTATTTTTTTCAAAAAAATTTTTTGGGGGGGTTTAATGTTTTTCTTTTGAACAAAGTTACTATTTTTTTCAGGTTTATTTATTTATTTATTTTTTACTAGCTTTATGGCCCAATTTTAGCGCCACACTTTTTGATATTTCTGAATCCCATTTTGATGTAAGTAGCTAATAAATCTCTTTTTGGCCATGTTTGTACTCCTGACAACAAGGAAAGAAAAGGAATATTCAAATGCAGTAAAGCTGATCCTTTACCTGCTCTAATGTTGTGTCTCTCTTGTTTCTCTTTGATAGATTGAAGGACGTTCGCATTCAGACATTTGCTGCCCACTTTGGCTTTCAGAACCGTTTCCTGGCCAGCGACATGGTGCACGCTGCTGCCGCCCTGTTGGAGAACACAGAGAGAGAGGACAACGACACAACAGACAACTTCATCACAGCCCTCGATTCACTGTCACGGTCTGTGCACGAGTCTCAGTCGATCAAGAAATCCTGAATGCTGTCACCTAACGGCTGCTGCCGATCTGTGCATCTTTAGTAATATGACATGCATGCAGAAGCACAAATATCTGATGTTTTTCCAAATTAATTTGTGCAGGAGCAACCTGGATCGTCTCACAACAGGGATTGGCCTAGCTAAGAAGAAGCTGATTGCTGTCCAGCAGACTGTAGCTAGCTGCCTTTGTACCAACCTCATTATGTCGCAGGGACCCTTCCTCTACTGCCACCTCATGGAAGTATGAGTACTTTTGGAAGCCCAGAGAAGAAGTTTGTCGTCAGCTGTAGCTACTCTGCTAAATCCAAGTTCTTCCATTTTCCATCCAGGGAACGCCTGATGTGAAGCTCTTTTCCAAACCACTGGCTCTAACTCTGCTCTGCAAATACCTGCTGAAAGCGTTTGTCGCATTTGTAAGTACCCAACGCCTTGCATTCTATATGTGATTATCACTTATCCAAGGCTTTCCACTCCTTCATGCACTGTGGCCTGCTTGTTTAGACAAGGAACAAACGCTGCAAAGTGCTTCCTCTCATCATGGCTGCTCCTAAAGACGTAGAGAAGGGGACAGTTATTGTCGTAGGAATCCCTCCGGAATCAGAGACGTCGGACAAGAAGAAGTAGGTTTCTACCTTTGCAAAACACAGCCTTTATGGCAGCTTTCGTTTTTAAATTTTAACCAACATATGTGTCCTAAAACAAAACTTTACACAGAGTTAAAAAAGAAACACACAAAAGATTTAATCACTATAGGAATAACAATAAAACCAGAGTAAAGTAACGATAATCATAGTGAAATAAGATCAGAATGCAGCTTTGGAAATAAAAATAATTGAAATGTAGTGCTAGAGGAAACCTTGATGCTCTTACAGGTTTTTTACACGACAAATGGGGCACATTTATGACTACTGCTGTTTATTATTAACAGTAGGGCTGTAACTAACGATTATTTTGCAAATCGATTAATCTGTTGATTATTTTTTTAAATTAATCGATCAGTAATCTGATAGCCACAGGTTCCTTAAAGAAGATTTTTTTTTTCATGAAAGTAAACTAGGTGAAACTAAAACTTTTCCACTTGAGGAGATCTGGATAGTGTTTTTTTAATCTTAAATGCAAAATATTCACATATTTTTTGCAACTGTGTTATAACTGCAGCTCATGGTGGGTTGCTCTATCAGCTAAAGGCAGGTTTTAGTCTCTACACTCCATTTAATGATTAATGGGTTACTAAATTAGTTGACAATTATTTCAATAATTGATTAATCATTACTAATCCTATAAATTTTTTCAGCCCTCATTGACAGCAATAATAGAAAATGTGATCATTTAGAACAGGGGTCGGCAACCTGTGGCTCTGGAGCCGCATGCAGCTCTTTCGCCTCCCCCTTGTGGCTCCCTGGAGCTTTTTCAAAAATTTATGAATATCGATTACTTTTTTTTTTTTTTATATGGTGTGCAGGTTGCAAACAAAATTTAATGTTTTCCAATGCTTTAAACATTTTAATTATAAATAAATTTAAACAATAATTTGCGTCAAAGCCATAGAGATCAGTGGTCATAACTTGGAACCAGCGTGGTGCGGTGCCAGGCAAACAAAGCTGCAGGTGTGTCTCGGAATATGAATCCCAAAGGAAAAAGAGGATTTAAATAGGCCGACTCATTTGCTTTCATTATCAACGCTGAACAATTGCCTGCATTTTCGCTTTGTAATGAGAGGGTGTCAAAAAAAAAGAAACATTTGGAAAGGCATTTCCAGGGAAGGCTAAATCTGCGATTGCAGGATAAATTAGAGGAGCGCAAAGATAGATTTAAGAAGTGGATTGCATCTCCAAACTCCACTAATGCTGCTTGTTTTATTGCAAGGATGGAAAACCGTCCACAGATCAAACAGGTAGCGCTTTGATGCAGGTATCTGAACTTTCTTCCATTTTTTCCCCAAATCCTAAAAATATTAATCAGACCAAGGAACGATGATGACAGAGGATGTGGGATTTCAGGGTTAGAGAGCACAGCTCTGATGTCAATTCCTGCTTGGTTCCTCATGACTCAGTAAACTCCTCCCAACAGAAACACGTCCACCATAGAAAGATTTAGCAAGAAAACTTAAACTGCGTGGTGAAGCGGTGCGAGATGGGAGCGTTCACTGTTCCTCCGTCACCTCATGCTACTATGTGACATTTGCTTCAGGATAAGCATTTAATCGTGAATGATTATTATATATTTAAGCCCATAGAGTCCTTTTCTATAGTGGGATAATACACTTAGAACCCATGTTTCTATACAAGGCTTATATAAGGCTTTAACATTTTTGCGGCTCCAGACAGATTTTTCTTTTTTTTTTTTGGTCCAATATGGCTCTTTGAGCAGTTTGGGTTGCCGACCCCTGATTTAGAACAAAAGCAATGGGAGTGAAATTGGAAAATAGCAGAGTAAGGCAGATGAACAGCATGTTCTCTTGCAGCAGGTCCTAATTAAAATAAATCAATTCACAATTTCTAATATGTTCAGACTACAGCTTCCTGTAGATATTTTTATATTAAATCAGAATACAACTCCAGACCTTCAGTATTGTTCATCAAAATTCCCTTGATATGACAGTTTCTTTAAATGTATATTATTATTATTATCCATGGTTATTGAGAAGTGTTTTTTTTGTTTATTATTTATTCTTATCCTCAAGTGTTGGTTCTGTTTCCTTTTCTCTGAAGCTTCTTTGGTCGAGCCTTTGAAAAAGCTGCAGAAAGCACCAGCTCCAGGACTCTTCATGATCACTTTGATACTTCAAGTAAGTGATGCCTTACCGGGGAGGCTGTATCCTTACTCCAGCTCTTCCCTGTCCGTCCTCTCTGTCCTGTCACTCATGAAAGGGGTTTCCCCCCCCCCCCCCCCTTGAAGTCACAACTAGCTCTTGGACCCTCTACAGTGGCTCTTAATAATGGCTAAAAACTTTAAAGAGACATCTTATCATTTTGAATATAGTAAGCGTACAAGTATCATTCTTATTAACTGTAGCATTTTTTTAATGAACATATTAATTTAATTTTCACTACAGAATGACCCGAAAGAATCAGGAATGAGTTTTTGGATCTGTATTAATATCTGCTTGAAAACTGTGTTTGTCTTACATAAAATGATCTCTGGTAGAACAAAATCCATCACTGCTTCCTCTTTATGAAGCTTTCATGGTTTGTCCTTATATTAATAACTAAAAATGCAAAAAATAAACTGTTAGCTGTTTAAAATGGCACCAGATTTCATGTTGCAGATAATAATAAATAAAAAACAGTTTTGTTTTATCTAAAGCACTTGTAGTATTTGCGACTCTAAATGATTTTTATATAAAATAATTCTTTCGATCAGAAAGGTGGCAGACACAAATAAATTAGAATTGGCAATGCCAATGCTCAAAAAAATGGGTGATGTGAGAATTTCATTTTTGATATTTTTCTTATTTTCCCTTTCATTTTTTCCATTGGGGCTTTGCCAAATTCCATGAATATGTGATCAGATTTGGTTACTGCGATATAGATTATGTTTAGTGATTAAAAAACCATACTTCTTTATATAACACGTGTCTTGAAGAAGACTGTTTTAAATGTATGTATTTTTCCAGAGTATTATTTGTAATTGTGGGACTATGAATGCATTGAAACGCAATCAGAGCTATAGAGTTATTTAAGAATGACCTCAAAGACTTAATGAATTGTTTTTATTGTCAAAGATTAGAATTATAACAGTACCAAAAGATGTCTTGATGAGATTTTAAGGAGATATTGTCCAGGCTAGTCTCCATGATCAAAAACAGAACGACTCGTCTCACATTTTACTGAAACATCACCCTGATGATCTTGAACAAAAAAGCACAGAAATCTGCATACATTGGTAGAGAGCTTAGGGTTTGGTGCCTTGATCACTAGAAAATAGACACAGGAGAAGAAGAAGCTGAAATTGAATCAACAAAATGATGTGAATCCCTTCATTGTAATTGATATTATCCTGAATTCTAGTCCTCAGGATGTCTGGATGTCAGTTTGTGATCCTAGCATGCTTGAAAGCAGACCATCCTGTTTGGATAGCTCAGCTATCAGCCTGCTTTAGGGAGGAAATACTTAATTCCACATAGTTTGTTTGGATCACCCTTTTTCCTTTCTCATTATGGACAAAAATGCTTAATATGAAACCTTTAGGTTTGACAGAAAAAAAATGAAAACATAAAATCTATGATATCTATCAATACTTTTGTTATAGCACTGAGCATGACTGAATATTTTAATGGTTATCATTCTGCTTTTTTTTTTTTTTACCTTAAATATCAGCGTTTATAATAAAATATAAACCCCCATCCTTTCTAATATTTTGCCTGCTGAAAAATAATTAAATTAGATAATGTTGTCTTATAAGCAGCATATTAAGTTGTTGAATATTTTAATACCAATACTAAGAGTCAGAGCCAGCAGTATTATAATATTTTAAGAAAATATATTAACAGTAATTTATTAAGAGCTGGAAATGATTGTTTAGGAGGACTAAAGCCCTGAAATTCTGTCACACCTTATTTTTCTGCAAAAATGTCTCCTTTTTAGACACCAGGTGGCAGGATTACTTCACGTTGTTCATATGACCTCAGCTGCAAAGAAGTCTCCATGCAATAATTTACCTCTGATATCCAGGTTGCCTGTTAATGTCTGTATTTCAGCACCTCTGACCTGGTTTTGTCTCTTGAGCTTTTTCAGATAGTTTTCATTCATTTCCCCTTCAAACATTCCAAACTATCTAGTTTCAGATAGCTAGTTGTGAAAGTTTCGACTATTTATTTTTCCAGTCAAGTCCGAGAATCATCTGCATGAAAATATGCAGCTGGAACAAGACGGATGACGTCTAGAAAGTTTATTTATCTGTGTGTCTCTTGCAGTAATTGAACTGAAGACGGAGGATCGGAGCAAGTTTCTGGATGCCCTCATCACTCTCCTGTCATGAAAACGCATACAGTCAGAGACTTATGAGTTTTTTGTTGAGCAGACCCCACATTCTTCTCTGGTCGGGTCATAAATGCATCACCGGAGTTTCAAGCGTTACGTTTTAAAGAGTTTTAATCAGCTTTTATGTAAATGTTGTACAGATCTTTTATGTTTTATGTATTTTACTTCCATATGCGTGATATTCAGATCAAATTACATTACTAACATGTTTTAATAAATCATTTTAAGCTTTTTATTTGCTTTTATTTTTAAAATGTAAGCTGTTCTGCCTGTGAAACATAAAAATAAAAAATTACATTTTACTAATGTGTTGTTTAGGATTTATGTTGAAATGCTCGATTTAAGTCTCCACAGAAAGCAACAGATCGTCCTCTTATAAGGAGTTGAATGACTGCGGCTAAACAAATTAGCTGCTGTAATCAATAATAAACTTACCATCTAGATTAGAGCTCAGCTCCTCTGCAGGTTAAAGGGTAACTTGGTGAACTGGGTCTGATCTTGCTGGTGGGTGAGGATGTTTATTTTTCTAAACATGGTTTATTGTTGCTAAACGGCCCTACTGAAGCTTAATCTTTTTGTTTGTGTCTCATTTATTTTTTGAAGCACATGAAAATAAACGGTTTTAACTTCAGCTGTTTCAATCTTAATGTTTGTTGTTAGTGCTTGTGATTATTTACTGTAAATCAGCGTTTCTTTCCAAGTGGGAACGCAAGAATTAGAACTAGTCAACATTGGTATGCAGTTTCCCAAATATTAGTAAACTGTGTCTAGAACTACAACTAATTATTAATTAGCAAATCGGTTATTCAGTTGATTATGTTTTCGATTAATAATCGGATTCCTTAAATAAGGCTTTTTACAAAATTAAATTGGGTAAAACTAAATCTTTTCCACCTGAGGAGCTCTGGATAGAGCATATTGATTGATGATTTTATCTTAAAGGTAAAAAAAATTTAACCATTTTAATATATTTCCTGTTCCAAGTGGGTTGCTATGTCAGCTAAAGCATATTTTACAGTCTCTACACTCTAACGATTAATCAATTACTAAATTAGTCGACGGTTATTTCAATAATCCATTACTGACGATTAATCTGATTAATTGTTTCAGCCCTAGTTGTATCCCATCTGTTTTTATTCCATTGTTATACAGGATGCTGTGTATTTAAACTGAAACTTTCAGATTTCATTGACGTGCCATCCTTCCTTCCATCATTCTTTCCTTCCTTCACACCGTACCCTACTGTCAGTTTCTAGTTTAATTCGGTTTCTCATCTAGATTTGTATTTCTTTTGATCGGGTCTAGACATGTTGCTTTTTGAGATATTTTAGCCTACTTCATGCTGCCTGACAGGTTCTATTTATGTACCTTTTTGATTAACAGACCTGATAGTAATGATATATGGGTGCAGTTTCTAAAAATTGAACATAAAGTAAAAGCATTCTTTAACTTCATAAATGAAATCTTATATTAAAAACTAAATTTTGCATTTACTGGTATTAAATCTTGATGCATGTTGGAGTCCCCCCTGCAGCAGCAGCAGCACCCTCTGCGTCTGGCTGCTCATAGATGGATTGAGGGGAGAGTTTTACAGTCCTCTCTATCACCTTTATAGCAGTCTGTACCAGGCACTGCAGCTTTGATATGGACTGTGAGGAGAGAGAACCACGCCATCATCCCGTACCTGATGACCCTCGGCCAGAGGTGTGTAGTAACTAGTTACATTTACTGGAATAACTTTTTTGACTTAAAGGTTCTTTTTACTGAACCACAATTTTTAGTTTAATAATCTCATGAGGTTTTATAAGTATTACTGTTACTTTAAGAATTTGTTGGCTATCTTACCCCCTGATAATTAGCTTCACTGAATGAGGAACAGGATTGTTATGACTTAAAAAGCTCTGGACAAAGTCACATGCTTAAAATTTATGTTAAATAAGAATTATTTGTGGAGCGTTGGCTTTGTGGTTAGAGCAGTGAGCTTGTACTCTGAGATGGTTGCAAGTCCCCGGTTCGATCCCCACAGCCTCTACTCTGAGTCTCTGAGCAAGACCGTTAACCCCACNATTGTTTCAGCCCTAGTTGTATCCCATCTGTTTTTATTCCATTGTTATACAGGATGCTGTGTATTTAAACTGAAACTTTCAGATTTCATTGACGTGCCATCCTTCCTTCCATCATTCTTTCCTTCCTTCACACCGTACCCTACTGTCAGTTTCTAGTTTAATTCGGTTTCTCATCTAGATTTGTATTTCTTTTGATCAGGTCTAGACATGTTGCTTTTTGAGATATTTTAGCCTACTTCATGCTGCCTGACAGGTTCTATTTATGTACCTTTTTGATTAACAGACCTGATAGTAATGATATATGGGTGCAGTTTCTAAAAATTGAACATAAAGTAAAAGCATTCTTTAACTTCATAAATGAAATCTTATATTAAAAACTAAATTTTGCATTTACTGGTATTAAATCTTGATGCATGTTGGAGTCCCCCCTGCAGCAGCAGCAGCACCCTCTGCGTCTGGCTGCTCATAGATGGATTGAGGGGAGAGTTTTACAGTCCTCTCTATCACCTTTATAGCAGTCTGTACCAGGCACTGCAGCTTTGATATGGACTGTGAGGAGAGAGAACCACGCCATCATCCCGTACCTGATGACCCTCGGCCAGAGGTGTGTAGTAACTAGTTACATTTACTGGAATAACTTTTTTGACTTAAAGGTTCTTTTTACTGAACCACAATTTTTAGTTTAATAATCTCATGAGGTTTTATAAGTATTACTGTTACTTTAAGAATTTGTTGGCTATCTTACCCCCTGATAATTAGCTTCACTGAATGAGGAACAGGATTGTTATGACTTAAAAAGCTCTGGACAAAGTCACATGCTTAAAATTTATGTTAAATAAGAATTATTTGTGGAGCGTTGGCTTTGTGGTTAGAGCAGTGAGCTTGTACTCTGAGATGGTTGCAAGTCCCCGGTTCGATCCCCACAGCCTCTACTCTGAGTCTCTGAGCAAGACCGTTAACCCCACACTGCTCCCCCAGCGCCACAAAATGGCAGCCCATTGCTCCTCAAGGGGATGGCTCAAATGCAGAGAGTTAATTTCTTTTGTGAGATCAATAAAGTTCAATTTCTATTTCTGTTTTGTGGTAAGTTATCTACTGAGTTATCTATTACACTTGGAGTTCAGGTTGATAAACAGTAGATATTGTTAATGGAGGTACTTTACATGCAAAACTGAACTGAAAATCTTTGATTCTGAAACATTTCTATTACCTGTCCCTATATCATTATACAAGTTATTAAATTGAACTCATTAAATTATTAATCCATACATGCATATGTGTGTGTATGCACAGGAATATGCATGTATGGCCACAACGTCAACATACAAAATACCAGCAATAGCAGATTACTCAAGCCTCTCTAGATAAGAGCTTAAAGTGAATGAATGCATCCTTCAGAATTAGCAGAGCATTTTATGGCATTCATATTTATACATATCATTTATATACTCATATTTTTTCTTGAACTGAGCAATATTTGTACTTTGCTTAATTTCATCATCTAAACCATTCCACAAAGTCACTCTCCGAACTATAATCACATACTGTTAGGAGTGCTGCGAACACATGGTTGCATTAAATTATATTTTCCTCTCATATTATACCTCCTCTCTCTATTCTTAAATAAACTTGGAATATTCTGTTGAAGCAAATTGTTTTTAGCTTTAAACTTCATTTATGTCAAGAGTTATGATTTTTTAAAAAGTAGATTTGTATGTTCCCAATACCAAGTATTGTATATCATTCTTAATGCTCTTTTTTGCATACATATTTTTTGTAAATAACTTGTATGCCTTCCCACAGACTTCAACATAGTATACTAGATATGGCTATAAAAGTGCACAGTAATGAATGTGAAAAGTTCTATTATTCAAGCTATACCTTGTTTTTCTTAGTATCCCTAAAGTTTGTGCCATCTTATTACACACTTGTTTGAAGGCTTTGGTCTTATTCCATCATGACACCAAGATTTCGGCCATAATCAATGGTTTCTAGCTGTATTATCTGAAGCTGTGAGCTAACTCCTGATCTCTCCTCCTTTGGTCCATAGATTATTACCTCGGTTTGTTTTTATTCAGTTGGAGAAAATGATGGTGCATCCACATATTGATCTGTTCTTAGCATCTAGCCAACACTCTGATGGGTTCAGTCACCTGGTGACATTGTGATGTAAAGCTGTGTGTCATCTCTATAGTTATGGTAACTGACTTTGTTGTTTGCCTTAATCTGAGCTAAGGGCAGCGTTTAGATCTTGAATAGGAGGAGCCCCACATGTGATTTTCCTGGTCTCTGATTTAAAGTTTCCTACTGACATGTAAAAGTCCCTATCCTTCAGGTAGGATTTAAACCAGCCAAGTGCTGCAGCAGATAAGTTAGAGCCACTGGTTGATAATCATTGGTTTAAGTAGGGTTGTTTCAGAATATGAATAATTGTATTTTATTTTTCAGTGGGCAGGGACCAGATGGGAATATGCAAACCTCTGATACAGCAACTGCTCTGAAGTTGACTCTGCAGGAAAGGCCTTTAGGAGAAAAGCAGAGATGCTTTTAGGGCCAGAAGATTAGGTTAACTGGTTTCTCTGAATTTCCCCTGTGAGACTTTGTGTCTGGATGCTGAGTTGTACAGGATGTAGACACTGTTTTTAAGAAGGGAAATACATTTTCTTGTTCTGTATCTGCAAATAGATCACTTAAAAAAAGCTTTTCCCGCTTAAATGATCATTTTACTGAGTGAATGTTGGGATCTGGAGAAGTTCCACCTTTCTCCAGCAGAGTGCGCCGTGGATCCTCCTGAGCTGAGCCTT